CTGTATTCAGCATTTTCTTTTCCTGGTTCTTTTCTTGTTCATTTTCCCTCTCCTTCTTTTCTTCTCCTTTCCAATGGTTTGAAATCCCTTGTTCTGAGACAACACTGTATAAATATATGGAAAGGAATCTTAATACTGTATGTTTTGACACTACACGTATATTGTTGAATATGTTTTTTTTTTGTTTTTTTTGGTGTAATTATTTCATTTATACAATGAATACTAAATGGAAAAATACATAAATATCATTCAACCATGGCTATTTCACGGTACACTTTGCCAGCACCACCTCCTTACAACAAGAACTAGACCTGCTGCTTTCAATTACAAGTCCTCACTGGTTGAGAAAGATCCCAGATAAAATCACATCCCTTTCCTCCACTTCTCAGCCTCAGAAGGCTCTTGTTCTTTACGTTGCACAGCCACACCATGCCATGCTTCTGAGCTAAATACACAGTGACAGGGCTTTCATGTAGCTGAAATGGGGATACCGTATCCCTCAGCCACCCCCCATCTCAACAAGGTGGTGTTTAAAATGAGGAAATCGGTCGACCTCCTATGCGATCTCCATTTTAGTCTTGTCACGGAAAGCTGCAGGATTTTTTTCTCCTCTTTTTGAAGGCCTTTAGAAAATAATGCAACTACTGAGATCTAAAAATTAGGCTGGGAATTGATAATCAGTAGTGTTGTGTCCCTGGTAATAATTATTAAAATGCATAGCTGTGAACAAAGTAATATTTATCCAGGGGATGCGGGCATGGTTGGGGTTTAAGAAAAATCATGTGGGCCCGATTCCCTCTTTAGGCTGAAGGGGGTTTTAACAAACAGCTGCTAAGTGTGGATTAGTGGCTCTCAGCAGTGCAGACCAAAAGGCCAAACCGAAAATAGCTTATTTCTCTTTGCTTACTGATGTGAACTAGAAAATACCTCAGCCTGTGGAATCACCCCAGACTTGTTCTCTCTGCATTTTTTTTCCTTTTCAGAAGGTTAATTAACACCACCGTTTCTAGTGATGAATTATAAAGTCATGAAAAACTGAATACAAGGGAAAATTCATTTTATTAGGTATTTAATGTTGTCTAATTATAATGCAAATAGTAATATATGATTATAATGCTTCGTTGGCAATTCAGCCCATATGGGCATATGAAATAAAGAATGGGAGTAAATGACTCGTTGTCATTGGAACGTGTGAGGGTGATTCTTGTGCATAGCCTAAAGCGATCTGGCCCTAATTTCTGCTTTGTCTCTGATCCCTGCTGCCTGTGGGATGTCCTTTTTTCCCTTCATAAAAGGTGAAATACTGAAATAATCCATTTAAGTTTCCTATTTTCCACAGTAACCTTGCCTCTAGGACATTTCTGACTGCTAGAGGTGGTGTAAAGGCAAGCATGCTAGTGCTTTTGGGGTGATCAGGAATATAAGGCCCCTGGTTGATGCAACATATGAGTGACTCAGTATGTGTTGTTAATGACCCAGCAGAAAATGATAGTGCTCAGAGTAGAGCTGCACGATTAATCGTTAAAAGATCGCGATCTCGATTCAGACAACCACACGATCTCATTTCTAAATGACAATGATTCTCCCGTGTCTATTAAACCTTTGA